AAAAAAAGAAACATCCTGCATCAAACCATCATTATAGGTCAGAGACTTCCTGCATAAATATTCCTCATAAACACAGATGAAATTAAAATTAATTAGTGGGATCTAGTCATATAGATTATATACAAATTCATTATATACAAATTTATTATAAACAAATTATAAACAAATTCATTTAGCATGATTATAGGATACAAAAATCAATATACAAAAACAATTGTAATTCTAAATGCTAGGAATAAAATCTCCAAAATTCAAATCCTAGTCATCAACTCAGGAGAAATGAAAACTGATGTCCACACAAAAGCTTATGCATGAATATGGAAGCAGGATTATCCATAAAAAGCTCAACTGGATATAAGTCAAATTCCCATCTGCTATGTGAACAAATGTTGCATGCTCATATAAAATAGCATTATTTATCATAAAAAGAAACAAAATAAAGCCAGGCATAAGTGGTTCACATATGTAATCTTAGCTACGCAGAGGCTGAGCTATGAGGAGCAAGGTGTTGGAAGCCAGTTGGGATAGGGAAGTTCCTGAGACTCTTCTCCAATTAACCACCAAGAAGTGGAGTGGTGACACAAGTGGTAGAGCGCAAGCAAAAAAGCTAAAGGATAGCACCTAGGCCCTGAGTTGAAGGCCCAGCACCCACACCAAATAATACATGATATAATATTGGTTTTTTCTGGCATTTAGTCTCCTTTTTAAATGTAAAGATATAATCTAGCCTGAAAGTCCATTCAAGTCCTCTTTGACTCCAGAGGCAACCCACAATTTTAAGTATCTCCATAAGAGACTGTCCAATCTGAAAGTTTCTACCTCATAACCCAAATAGAGATTGTATTCAATTTACTTTCATGCTCCTTCTAGTGTGACTCAATCAGTAATGTTCCATACAGAAATTAACTGAGCTATGGGGACGTAATTTGGTGGTAGAGAAGTGTGCTTAGCATGTACAACACCCTGGATTCATCCCAATAAAAACCTCAAATGACTCCTCTTCCTCATTCTCCTCACCCATTCAAAATGCCCAATCCCATTCTCTTACCAAAGCACAAATTCTCTGAAAACTAACAGAGCTTGAGGCAGCAACACAAACTTGCCAATAGCTACAAAGTAATTTCTCTGCAGTGTGTAACCATTTTTTTAAACTTTTATTCAAAATTAATGCTTGAGACAAAGAGTAGTTTCATTTTTAAGTATATATTTAAATCTCTTCCTAGGCATTTAACTTTTACCCCACTCATAAAAAAAAGGGATGTAGATATAGAATACATGTTCTTAGAGAATCTTATAGGATTACTGGGATGATAAATAGGCTGTAACTGATTTCCAATAATAGCATCATATATATTGAGTTTATATATATTGTTGCTAATCCTCATGGATGATTTCATGTAATCTTGGCAATAATATTGATTTTTTGAAATTTTTATTGTCAAAGTGATAGATAGAGGGGTAATGGTTACATACATAAGGTAGTGAGTACATTTCTTGTCAAGCTTGTTACTCCCTCCCTCGTTTTTTTCCCCACTTTACCTCCCCCCAAGTTGTACAGTTCATTTCCAACATAATGTCTTATATCACTGTTGCATTGGCTTGCCCTTTGTCCTTTGTCCTTTGTGTTGTTCCCCTTCCCTTCCCTAATTCAGATAAATGTATACACAATAACCAGGGTACCAAAATCAAATACAGTGACAACAGAGGATAAACCATAGGAAAAAGAAAAAAGAAATCACATAGTACATTAAAAACAACAACAAAGAAAAACCCCTTGTTTCCATGTCTTGGAATTCATTTCACTTAGCATCTAATAATTGATACTTTTAATATCATCATCCTTGATGTATAAGTGAAGAAACTGAAGTTTGGAAAGACGTAAGTGGGCGTGTAAACAATTTTCATTATTCTGTATTAAGGATAAATTAAATTGAATTAATGAAATCAATCCTTAATATAGAAGCGGTTGGGGCAGCAGCCAGTGGCTCAGGCCTGCAACCCTAGCTATTTGGGAGGCTGAGATATGATCATCAAGGTACAAAGCTAGTTTGGGCAGGAAAGTCTATGAGACTTATCTCCAATATAACCACCAAAATAAAATGAAAAGAACTGTGTTTCTTCAGGGGTTAGAGCACCAGTCTTCAGCAAATAAAGCTCAAAGACAGCACCCAGGATCAGGGTTCAAGCCCCAGGCACCTAAGAGGGGAGTGGGGAGGAGAGAAGGAAGAAAAGAGAGAAGAGGAAAAAAGACCCAGAGAGACCTAGACTCACTAGGTGGAGACTCCAATTTCAAGACTGAAAGAAGTCTCTGTTCACGTTGACCTGACAGCTCGCGACTTCCCTAAAGAGAGGTTTAGGCCTGAGAGGGTTAGGCAGAGGTGTGGAGAAAGGTTTAGAGCCTGACCTTCTCTCGGGAGGCGGGAGCACAGTGGGCGTGCCCTCGCGCCTGAAGCCGAGCCGTAAAGAACTCCGCGTGTCCGCCGTAAAGCGACGCCGCACGGCAGCTCTGCTTGGCGGTGGCCGCGGTGAGGGACGCTGCTCGCTGGTGGCTGCGGCGGTACACACGTGTTGCCGCCGGCGGGCCGGGCCGCGATTCTCCCTCACGGAAGGACCGCGTGACAGCGTGGATTTCGGGTCGTTAGCCGATGGAGCTGGCTGGGGGGCATGGAGGGGAGGCCGGGGGAAGCGTCCGCGGGGTGGCCGAGGGGGCGCGGCGCGGCCGCGGGTCTGACGGGGAGGGAGCCTGGGGGGCAGCGGGGAGGCCGGAGGCCGGCGCGGGAGCGGAGGGGACTGGGCCGGCGGCGGGGGGCAGAGCCGAGGCGGCCGAGGAGTGCAGCGTGGATTTGGCGGTTGTGAAGCAAGAAGCGATGGACTGGCCGGACAGCCAGTGGGTCAAGCAGGAGGTGGAGGATGAGAAACCAGGGGCACTGGCGGTGAAGCACGACGGGGAGAGCAGTTTTGTGGTGAAAGAAGAGACAATGGAAGAACCGGAGGTCAAGGAAGAGAAAGTGCCGGTGAAGGACGAGGTCGTGGGCTGGACAGACGTGAAGGAGGAGACCTTGGAGGTGAAGCGGGAGGAGACGTGGGCGGCTCCGAACATAAAGGAGGAGCAGCTGGGGGATGGGGTGCACCTAAAGGAAGAGGAGGACTTCCCCAAGACCGAAGTGATGGATGATGCGAAAGTAAAAGTGGAGCCTCCTCTGAATCTGCCAGTGGGCTGCAAGCGGAAGCTGGCCACGGCCAGGTAGGGCAGGGAGAACACCGGGGGGGGGGGGATGAGTGGAGGGAGCCAACTTAAGGAGATGGAGTAAAGTCCACACACGCCGAGGACCCTCTGGATTCTTGATTGGAATCTAGGAGAGGTGGGGAAAGGTGGAAGGTAACTGGAGATAACAAATGGAGTGAAAAATAATGTGAAGTGGTTCTGTTCAAGAGGTCAAGGTAGAAACTGAAGTCTGTGGAACCAGACTTCACTAACTTGTATGCTTATGACTCAGTATTCTTGTGAAAAAGCACAGAGATGAGGAAACGTTCATAAAAACCAACCACGAGCAAGTGGTTTGAGTTAAAATTAAACAAAATTCACTTCAACTATTGCACTTAGTTTAATTTTCTGAGTGTGTGATCCTGTAGTAACATCGACGATTGATTTGTGGGCAGATTCTTAGGAATATTACTGTCTAGAACATGTTAAACCAAATCATTTTGTTATCAGTATCCCAAGGTCGCAAAAGAGCAGTTGGGGACATATGGTGGGTAATAATGCATTTCTAAAGTATTTTGATGCCCATGGTAGGTTAGGTGTGGAATTCAAAAAGGGGAAAAGATGCTACTGCTATTTTATAGTTTGTTTAGATCCTATGCTCTTTTTTGAAGTTAAGTATGTGCTTTTGTAATCATGTATCGCTGACAATCGTATAAATGTAGTCAGATTGTTTCACACAATGTCTATCAGTTGCTTTACATACTTTATTCACTATGTAAATTCACACAGTATATTACAAAAAGTAATTGAATCAGCATCCCAAGTTTGTAAACAGACAAGTAGAATTAATATTTCTTAATTTATTAAGTTACTTGTGGGCTTTTATAGGTGTGAAACTTGTGGTACAGAAGAAGCAAAGTACAGATGTCCACGTTGTATGCGATATTCCTGCAGGTATATATGTAACTTCTCACCTTATGACTTAATATCTATACCTTACTTACTTCAAAATATAAAGTACTTCTTTGTTTCTTCAGTTTGTCCTGTGTAAAGAAACACAAAGCAGAACTGATGTGTAATGGAGTTCGGGATAAGACTGCTTATGTTTCAATACAGCAGTTTACTGAAATGAATCTCCTGAGTGGTAAGCCATTTTATATACAGATAAATGCATTTTGGACAGTAGTATATGTCACTTGCTTATTTGTCTGTTCTGAAATTTATAGATTACCGATTTTTGGAAGATGTGGCAAGAACAGCAGACCATATTTCTAGAGATGTTTTCTTGAAGAGACCAACAAGCAATAAGCATGTAAGTATTTTTTGGAATAACTTCCATTAGAATCTCTTAAAATCAATTAGATTCTCTGTTATTGTTCATTTAACAAATATGCTAAGTGGTCACCATGTTCTAGGGCTAGTTATTAGTCATTCAAAAGTGACCAAAACAGGGCTGGAAATGTGGTGTAGTGGTAGGGTGTTTGCTTAGCATGCATGAAGTCCTGGGTTCGATTCCTCAGTACCACATACACAAAGAATGCTGGAAGGGGTCTTGTGGCTCAAGCGGTATAGTGTTAGCCTTGAGCAAAAGAAGCTCAGGGACAGTGCCCAGGCCCTGAGCTCAAGCCCTAGGACTGGCCAAAAAAAAAAAAAGACCAAAACAAAGTCTTTAGTCTCATGGAGTTTGATTTGTACTGTGAGAGAGACAGAGGTGTTTAGAAGAATAAATGTAAGTTCAACTAAAGCGTATATAGAAAGCCAAGAATGTGCTGGACAGTATGAGAATAGAAATGGTGTCTGCTATGAGGAGGTTTAGGATATTCTTTTCATTTAGTGGTCAGAAGAAGCTTCTTTGCGATCATCTCAATGAGCAGAAACAGTCCCTTGAACATTTGGAGAACTTCAAGGTAGAGAAAAGTAAAAAGTAAAGACCTGAGTTAGGAACAAGGTTGGTGTGTTTACAAATAAATTAGGGCAGAGTGACAAGCATAGCAAGTGAGGAAGAGAATGTTGAGCTTGAAATGAGAGAAAACAGTAAAAAGTTTTATGTCTTTTAAGTAAACATAAACCACAGGAGAGTTTTAACTGTGTTTACTTTTTAAGGCAAACTTTTGCTGTTTTGTCTACGTTAGGAAGGCAAGAGTGGAAAATTAGAAACAGGGAGAACAGTTGAAAAGCCACTGTATGCTTTAATCCCTGTAAGAGATGAATATGACTTGGGTCTACTGTTAGATATAATTGGAAAGTGGGCTGGATGTGTTGGTTCATGTTTGTAATCCCAGGTACTTGGAAGGTGGAACTTTGTTCCTGGGACTGAGGCTGTGGCTCAAGTCTTACAGTTCTAGAGGCACCAAATTCAAGCCCCAAGTTTGCAAAGAACGAAGAGGAGGGAGAAGGAGGAGTAGAAGAAAAAGAAGAAGGAGGGAAAGGGGAAAGGAGAGAAGAATTGGGAAGTGATTAGATTTTAGTTTTGTAGGCAAAGCCTAATATACTCTTCTTATATACTTAATTCTCAACTCTTAATCCCATTTTCATTCTTTAAGAATTTTGCTAAACTTACATGCTTGAAATATTTTATAATTAGAATTATTCTAGTTGTAAAGATTCTTCAGTATTGTGATTAAGTCACATCAGAATTATGTTCGCTTTTCAGAGACCATTGTTGGAGTTTCAGAATTTGACACCCTTTGAACACTGTATTTTATTGGTATTACTGTTATACATCAAAAGAATTATCATGTGTCAGCTTTTAATTTTCTTGAGGTTAAATTAAATTAAGCATAATTAAAATTCTAACTAAAGAGAAATTATATTTTAATTTTATTGTAAAATATAACCAGCATGTGAACAAGACATAAAAATGGAAATGTAGTATAATGCTTAATTATGTATTTAATGTCTATGTAACTACCACTGAGGTCTAGAATGAGAACATTTCCATGTCACAGGAATTCCTTCTGATCCTTTTTTGTACCTGGCTGATTCTGATTTGTCTAGTTTTTTGTCTTAGGACTTGGTATCATGGTTTTTCAATTCTGTGTTCATGGACCTAGGATTTTCAACAATAACAAAAAAAAATTGAAAATTTGTACTCTCTGTTCCTTCTGTCATCATCTCAGACCTTCCAACTGGGAATTTTTTTTAAGGATATCTTTATTATTTGGAGGAGACTGATAGTAGACAACTCTTAGATTACTGTCTCAGTCTTTGAACTTGTATTTATTTCATCTTCATGTTTCAACGATTTTCTTCTAATTATAGAGTGTTGAATTCAAAATTATATGTTTGCTGGGTATCATTGTCATTGTTGTAAAGTCGTGTCATTATTAATTTTTTATTTGTTTATTTTATTCTGGTCTGAGCTTGAATTTACAGCTTGGGGTTGTCCCTGAGCTTTTTTAGTCAAGGCTAGAGCTCTACCACTTGAGCCACAACTCTACTTCCAGCTTATGTTAGGCAGTTAATTGGAGAAGAGTCTCAAGGATTTTCTTGCCCACACTGACTTTGAACCATAAGCCTCAGATCTCCTGAGAAGCTAGGATGTGTGAGCCTGGTGCCCAGCCCAAATAACATTTTTGGAGTTAAGTAGCTTTTTCTCTGACCCTAATTTTTTGTTTTAGTTTCTTTAAGCCAAAGTCCTGCCATGTAGCCCAGGCTGGCTTTGAACTAAAATTCTTTTGCTTTCTCCTCTCTGTTCTGGGATTAAAGATATGTACCACCACATCTAACTTTTCCTGACTTATTGTTTATCTACTTTCGGCATTCTGCATTTTTGCTATCATGTGACAGTGGAAATTTCTTTGTAATTATGTTTGTTGTATTTGTTTTAGGTTTCTTGAATCTGGAGTGTCTTCAATTGTGGGAAATTCCCAATCCATTTTTATTAAAATATTCCTTTAGTTCTTCTAAAACTAGCTTATTAATAAAAAATATTAAATACTGCTCAGGTCTTCCTAGCTTTACAATTAAATTTTGTGGCAGTACTATAGGATCATTCTTCTAACCTTTTTTTTTGATGCTGGGGCTTGAACTCTGTGCCTGGTTGCTGTCTCTGCACTTCTTTTGCTTAAGGCTAGCCCTCTACCATTTGAGCCACAGCCCCATTCCCAGTTTTTTTTGAGTAGTTTATTTTGAAGAGTCTCATGGACTTTCCTGCCTGGGCTGGCTATGAACCTTGATTCTCAGCCTCCTGAGTATTTAGGATTACTTGTGTGAGCCACCTGTGGCTCTGTTTTTTGTAATATTACTTTAGCAATTTTTTTGTTTTTTGGTTCTGCACTGCAGATATTGTCAAAGTGTTTCTTTTTAAATTATGCTGAATTATTTTATAAATACCAGTTTCTAAATATTTAGAGACTCTACTACTTTATTTGCTTTTGTCCACAATGCCTTGTATTATGCTTTTTTTACTTTTTATTGAGTATTATTTTTTAATCCTTAAAGTGCTATTCATTAGAGTTATTTGGAAAACAGGGACAAACATCTTCTTTTAGGGACTATTTTATTTCTTTTACTAGGTACTTAGGAACATTGCAAATTTGACTCTATCTTAAGCCAAATTGAAGGTTTCCAATTCCATGACCAAACTAGCTGGCTTTTGTTTTATTTTAATTTTTTTTTGTTATTATAAAGGTGATATACAGAGGGATTCCAGTTACATAAGTCAGTACATTTCTTTTTGGACAATGTCACCCATTCCCTCGCTCTCCCAGCAGATTTTTATTTTTATAAATCTGAGTAAGGACTGAACTATGGCCAATTTCTATGAACAATTTCTATGAACTATGGCCAACTATGAACAATTTCTAATCTTTTTTTGTGATACTGGGATTTGGACTACAGGCCCTCTTTACACTTGAGCCACACCTCTAGTGTTTTGTTTTAAATTTTTTTCTGATAGAATCCCATGTTTTTGCCTGGGACCTGTGTCATACCGCAATCCTCCTTCCTGTGTAGCTAGGATCTCTAAACATAATGCCCCACTTACTTGTTGAAATGGGATCTTGGTTTTTGCCAAATCTGGCCTTGAACTACATGCCTTTTACTATCTGCCTTCCTGGGACCTGGGATAACATGAGCCACTGTACCTGTCTTCTAACAGTTTTTTGTTTGTTTTCACCCGTACCAGTCAATAATACATGTGTACTAATACGTACCAGTCAATAATACATGTGTACTAATATCTGTGGTTTACCCTTGTCCTCAGGGTATGTTCTCTGAATCCTAGTAGATTCCTGGTTCTTGATTTGACTTTCTTATTGAGGAAGATAGTGAAAAGCAGAGCCTGTATTTGCCAGGAAATACTGTCACTGTGTTTACTGCAATGGCTTTCATTGATTTGCTTAATTATCTGAGTTTTCATTGCCAGCTCCTAAGCGCTTTTAAGGGAATTTTTGAAATACACACATGGTTATTCCCCCACTTGTTTAGAAACTTGATTTATGCTTTGTTTTTTATTGAGTTTTTTCTTTGTGGCTTAATAAAAAATGTTACTTCCTTTGTAACTCTGGAATTGGAATAATCTTAACCAACCCAGGTTTTCAGTGGAGTAAAATGTTACAGTCAGTTGTTTCAACACCTCATTTTGTACTGTCCCACAAAAATGGCTACTCAAATTAGTCTTACACTGGGCTGCTCCTTTGAGTAAGCTGCCTGTCTAATGAACAAGTCAGGAATAGATTCAGCTTCCTATGGTATAAAATCATCAGGAAAAAATGCCTCAATGAGATTTTCTGAAGACTATGGCGAAGAGCATAGGCTCTAGAATTTGGCGGACCTACATTTGAATATAGATTCTCAGAGATAGTAATGATTTGAAATTTCATTCATATTGCAAAAATGAGGATAATGGTAGTGCCTGATTGTGAAGATTGAATTCGATTCTGCTTATAGCCATTTGTGAAACCTAAGTGAATCTTAATTATTTTTGTACATAGTTTTCTCACTTTTGACACGTAAAGCACTTGGTAATTTATCTGTTTTGGTCTTTGATTAGATGTTTTTTATGAAAAATCGTGCCCGAAGACAAGGTATTAACTTAAAACTTCTTCCCAATGGATTCACCAAAAGGAAAGAGAATTCAACATACTTTGATGTAAGGTAGGTTTTAAACTTCTGTATTTTATCAGGTGTCCTGGTTTGGTTTGCCTTACAACATTGCTACCTAAAGTGTGATTTGTAAACTATTATTGAATGAAAAGATAACTGCTTAAATAACATATCACATGACTGATAAAAATTAGAGCATGTGACAAGGAAGCTTCTCAAACGTTAATGTGCATAACCCATTACTTCAGCATCTAGTAAATATTCTGTGACTTAATTTCTTTAGGCCTGGGTAGGAGTTTGATATACTTCTTTGTTTTGGTGCTTGAACTGAGGGCCTGGGCTCTATCTCTTAGCTTTTTTAATCAAGGCTGGTAGGCTACCACTGAACTACACTTCTACTTCCTTCTAGCTTTTTTTTTGGTTAATTATAAGTTAAAGAGTCTCACAGACTTTTCAGCCTGGGCTGGCTTCAAACTGAAATCCTCATATCAGCCTCCTGAGTAGCTAGGATTACAGGCTTGAGTCATTGGCACCTAGCTAATGTAATACATTTTCAATAGCTTCAGTTATGCTAATTGCCTGAGGAACATTCGTGCCAAGAAAGTATTTCAGGGACAAAGTGGTAAGTCAAAGCAGAAATGCTAGTATTTCAAACAGAGGCTTTTGTGATCATTTCTACATGGAGCTCTGAATAAGACTGTACTCAAAAGCTGGTTACTCAAAAGCTGGCTATCAAGATGGAGGAGACTTTGAAAACAGTTGCTCTAGTAATGAAGCTTTGAGTAGAAATAGTTAGCTACTTTCTCAAAGTGAGTTAGAAAAGTCCTAAGAGTACAGAGGAAATAGGATTCCAAAGTACAGTCAGTCTTCTAGGCCTACTGTATCTGTACATTCCATATCTGCAGATTCAGTTACCCACAAATTAGAAATAGTAGGAGGGGGAACCTCTACTGAGTACTGAATATATAGACTTTTTTTTTTCACTCATTCCCTAGCAATTCAGCATATCTATTTATACAACATTTATATTGTATTAGGTATTATAATTTTCGGAGACTTAAGGTTGTTGTATTTTCTGTTTTTTCTCTTTGAGACCATTAGCAACACAATACGTAGTAGGCATGAGGATCCATTTCTTAAGTTACTTCACATCTGCAAAGTGAAACAGTGACAGTTGCCTTGTGGAGTTGTGATCTTTGGTGTATTAATTTATCTAGATAGTAAGTACTGTGTGGGAGAGAATCAATAAATAGTAGCTTGCAAATACACATTCATATCTCAACTTTAAGGAAAAATAGCACCTTTAATTCTACTATGCAGATGTGACCACTGATGCTATTTCAGGTATCCTTCTTCTTATACTTCTACTGTTTTGATTTAATAAGGTAAAAACAGTATTAAATGTGAGTGAAAGTAAAAAAAAAAAAAATGACATAACTACCCAGGTTAAATGTTACTTCATAAGAGTGTCTGTTTAGTCATACTTGCACTGTTTTTAAAAATTCTATATAACAGAGATAGTGAAATATAGGTTTATCATAAACTAAAACCAGGCTGTCTTCCTAGAAAGAGATATTGAGCTACCTGCTTTGCGTTTCAATTTCTGTATCTATAAAGTGGAAATAGTAATAATAATTCTCAGTTCAAAGAAGTTTCATTTTCATCTATAGTGCTTAGGAATGCCTGTTCATCTCTTCACTATCCCTGAGAATCTCTTAAAAAATAATTGTTACTAATTTGATAAGTAAATATGGTTATTTGCTTAAAATAGTTGTATTTGATTGCTACTATGATGAAATTATTTATGTGTTTTAGGTGTTATTTTAAAATTCAGATGTAAAATTTGACTTAATTCATTCCCAGTGGTAAGGTGACCTTTCATTCATAAAACCATTGTGTGAGATAGTTCAGTGAAAATTCTCATCTATATAACTGAATTGCTGGTTCATTTGTTTGTTGTGTAAATTGCCCATTCTTATTCTTGTTTTTTGTTTTTTTGGGGGAGTCCAGTCATGGGGCCTGAACTCTGGGCCTGGGCGCTGTCCCTCAGCTCTTCAGCTCAAGGTTAGCACTCTACCACTTGAGCCACAGCACCACTTCTGGCTTTTTTCTTTTTGCATATGTGGTGCTGAAGAATCAAACCCAGGGCCTCAGGCATGCAAGGCAAGCGCTCTACCACTGAGCCACCTTCCCAGCCCCCCATTCTTATTCTTAAATGGGAAATGGATTGATTATTAAATCTAACTAATGAAATTTTAAATGCCTCTATTCAAATACTGAATTTTAAGGTGAGTTCTCAGCTAATGAAACCATATTTAAAGAATGTTGCTTGTTAGTTGATTAATAGCTTGGATATCTCTCCAATATGTTCCAGTACTTTGGTCATTCTTATTTGACATTTTCATCACTGATTTAGGTTAGAGATTCTGATCTTGTTGCTGTTGACATTTGAGCTAGATAAGTTACAAGTCTCAGTCATGTGCACTTTAGTGCATTTTAGTCATTATCAACTAGATGTTTGTAACATAAACATCTCTGAACATCCTCTGTTCTAACAAAATGTGCCTTGTCAGTGCCAACTGGCCTCTGAGGACAACTACTTTTAGACAACTACCATTTAGGTAAACACCGCAGACATATTCATTGAATTTATAGTTATAATCTTTTCTTGAGTCAAATAGAGTCAAAATCAGGATTGCAAGAAATTTTGATTGCTAAAGAAAGTACATAATAAGCAAGTACATAAGGTCCCATATAGCAACTATAGGAAAAACAAGTGAAAAATGCCATTGAGAAGTACCTTGCTTGATATTCCTGTATTTTCTCAGTCATTCACATGAAAATGATCTAGCTTTTAGCCAGGTGTGGTGGTACACTCTTAAAGTCCCAGCACAGGATGCAGAGTCAAGAGGATTGTGAGTTGAAATCCAACCCCAGCAGCATAGACGTTGGTTAATAAAAAACAAAAGAAAAAAGATCAACAGTTTTAAATGACTGTAGTGGGGATGAAAAAAGGGAATGCTAAATCTTTTCGAAGAATTCTGTTCAGCTTCTTGCTGTCCAGTATTATGTTTTAAAGACTAAGTTTTTTTTTTTTCAGTTAACTTTGAAAGATTGTTAAGGCTTTGGCTCAAATAAACTTGAATTTGCTTATTGCCACTATCATTTGAGATATATTAGATAGTCTCAGGCAAGATTTAACTTAATTGGGTATAGAGAAGATTATATATACATAACTCATAGTAAATAATGTACAATGACTATCCAGGTATTACATTCTCCTGTACAAAATTGTTGGGAATACGATACAAATATTACATAAGAAGCAGTATTGTTTCCACAGTGTATCCTTCAAATAGTGACATTGTATTAATAGCACAGGGAACCTTTTTTCTGTCAAGGGCCATTTGGGTATTTATAACATCATCCAAAGGCCACAAAATTAGTACAAGTAGTTGGCCAAGGAAGCTAAGGTGCATATCAAGGTCTGGGCAAGTGGCTTAGTGGTAGAGTACTTGCCTAGCATGCATGAGGCCCTGGGTTCATTTCCTCAGTTACCACATAAACAGAAAAACCCGAAGTGGTGCTGTGGCTCAAGTGGTAGGATAGCCTTGAGCACTAAGAGGCTCAGGGACTCAGGAACAGCACCTAGTCCCTGAGTTCAAGCCCCAGGACTGGCACACACACACACACACACACACACACACACACACACACACACACACACAAAAGCATACCAGAAGTATAATTTAAGTGTCTATTTTATTATTTACGAAAATGATTTTTGAGGGCCTTATACAACTCATAGGCCAAACATAATCCACCTGATAGAATGGTTAAATAATGGCTGTAAACTGGCTCAGGTTTACTGCTAACAGTTCACAAACTTTCAGTTTCAGAGATTAGAAAATTATAATGTAGGATCTGGGAAGTTGGCTTAGTGGTAGAGTGCTTGCCTCACATGCATGAGACCCTGAGTTCGATTCCTCAGCACCACATAATCAGAAAAAAAAAGCCTGAGGTGGTACTGTTACTCAAGTGTTAGGGCACTAGCCTTGAAGAGCTGAGAGACAGCACACAGGCCCAGAGTTCAGGCTCTATGACCATAAAAAAAAAAAAAAAAAAATATATATATATATATATATAATATGTATAGATTTTTTCAGTCTTATACAAACTTAGCTTATTTCAGCATCATTAACTGTTTGCATGTAATTAGCAGTTTTTTCCTTTCAGTGTAGTAAAATGTATATTCTTTGAAATGCACAAATCTTAAATGTGTGTTTATTGAGGGGTTTTGTTTTTGTTTCTGGCATGTGTATATGTGTCTAAGAATCAATTCATGGCTTCTACCACTGAGCCACGTCTCCAGCCACATTTCTTTTGAGTTTTTACAAATATATATTTTATATATATAATATATATAATAACATAGTATATAATATATATTACAAATATATACTTTTGTATATATTTGTTTCTGAATATATAGAACATTACTGTATACCACGTTTTTACTAGTTAGCCTCCTCTTGTCTCTAAAGGCATCCTGTTCTAATACATACACTCCTACCCCAAGATGTGTTTTGCCTGTTTTAATATATGGAAAGTTTCATGTATATGAAGTCATACAGCTCACTATTACTCTGCTGAGGATGTGGACAAGTTGAGACAAGATCTTACTACGCACCTCAGTCTGGTCTTGAACTTAGGATTTTTATGCCTTAACATCTCAAATGTTGGAGTTACAGGCATGAACCACTATATATCTGGCTTTAATCTTTTGAATAATAATTTAGCTGTATAGGACATTTATTGTGTATTCCACTGTCTTCTCATTTCTTGTGCCACTGTTGAGAGCACTATTATTTTAGATAGCTTTCTTTCTTTCTCTCTCTTTCTTTTTCTTTCTTTCTCTTTCTCTATCTCCTCCCTTCCTTCCTTCCTTCCTCTCTCCTTCTCTCCCTCTCTCTCTTCCTCTCTCTCTCTCTTTCTTTCCTTTCTTCCTTACTTTCTTTCTTTCTTTCATCTGATCTATACCTTGATCCTCT